TTAACTTGAATATACAGGGCATCTGCTAGTCGCATACACACAGTCCACAACATTCCTACTCGTTCCGTTTGTCTCCTTTGTCTGCGATTGTCCATTGTCCGGCCCTCATAATTTGCGCTTTGTTTTATTGCACGAGCTGCATGCAGTTTAATTCGCGGGTCCACAGCTTCAGGCTTATTGTTCCATGCTACACATACATACATAAGTAAGCAGATAGATGTATGTATGGATGTACATAAGCATAAGTAGCCGTAGTTCTTATATATTTTGAAATGTGAGTCACGTTTAAAGTTTGGCGTTCTGTGCCCAGCATTGGGACCTTAAATGGGTTTGGCTTAACTGCAGCGCATCTTCCTTGAAAGTCTCGGGGCCCCATTTATAGCGCTAATTGCGCGCATTTTGTTGCGCTTGTTATTTACAAATGCACACGATTTGCTTGCTAGTAACAAGTTGGCTAAGTGCAGCTATCGGGCAAAATAAGTTGCCGAGTAATTAAGTCTGGCAACAGTTTTGACAGCTTTTAAGAGCCATTAGGGTTATTGGGCAAAGGCCAATAGCCAATTGCCATCTTATTGCCTCATTTTGGCTTGGATTCTATTAAGCCTGTTTTCACTGAAATATTAATAAATAATTAACGGAAAAATGCACTGCGCGTGCATACCCTTCAATAGTAAAAGAAATGCTGGATTTGAAAGGGAAGTTCTAGTCGAACTTGATTTTAATAAAGTTAAACACAGAAGTTCGATTAAGTTCGATTTTATTTTAGTTTTAATATTTAAGTTAGTTATTTTAATTATTTATAGTATTCTTTTTAATTGAATTCAAAAACTTTTCGCTTATTTAATTTATTAGGTTTTTTGATAAGTCTTTTGAAATACGCTTATGACTTACTTTAGGGTATCTCGTAGTCACGCATTTATCATTTCTTGTTCTGCAATATTTTAAATGCCCATATTATGGAATATTTATGTGCTGCCTTGGATTATATGTGCATATTTGCGCTGATTGTGCCTTGCGGCGGATGTGTAAGCGTCGGTCTGACACACACGTAACACACACACATATATCACACTCGCACACACACTCAAGTAAACGTAAATAGCAGAAGCTTCCGGTTATTTATATTGTACTAACACCAACAAGCACAGCGAAACGCTTGTCGATTGGCGTCGTGTCAGGCGCGGAAAGTGCCAAAATCAATGGAGATTAAAACAAACAAAAAATAAAAAAAAAAAACAGTAAAGGCATTTTTGAAATTTTTTTTCAAATTGTTTCACTTTAAGTAAAGCTCAAAAATGCATATGAATCTGTGGAAAGCGTTTTTTTGTTTGGCTCAATTTATAAATGTTTACATCTGTGCATTAAAAATGCATAAATATGGACAGGCTGTACGTATGTACGTAAGTGCATTATGCTATGAATGTGAGTATGTGTGTGTGGGAATGTGCGTTACGCACTTATATAGACATAAACATTTATCATTGATGTGGCTGCTGCTTAACATATCGCCGCATGGACGCAGAGGCGATAAATAAAGATTAAAATCTCTGAAATGCGCACAAAAGTGGCTGGCACTTCATTTCAATTTATGTATTTATACTGTATTGGACCGCGTAAAGTGGTGACACACACGCACTGACACTCACACATATATACTGCAGGGCGTTGGGCATAAATCAAAAATGGTTGCATACTTTTGGGGCCTTGCTTCAATAGCAAATAATTTAAGCGGTCAACGCCGCAGCCAGTTTAAGTTGAATGAGACAAAGAAAAAAGAAAAAAACAGCCCACATGAAAAAATATAATAAAATTTAAAATTGTGCTGGCAGTGACATTGTGTATACGCACTGTGGTGCGTATTGAAATTCACAGCGTGCGTTTGAGATTTCGTATTTTATTTTTGAAGCACGCTTTTGCCACGCTTTTCCGTCTTACTTTTTATAGCCATTAAATCAAAGTACAAATAAAAGAAAGTAAATAAAAAGAAGTTATAACCTTGGCGCAGAATGCCGGGCAGGCATTCGCTGTTTTTGGGGCTGGGGAAGTGTTATATGGCCTTTGGGTTCAAATGAAATGCTGAAATGTTGCCATAAAATCGCGAAAATTTTGTAAAGTGCACTTTACGCGCAGCGCTTGACACACGTACAACTACAGCAATTTTCCATGCAATGAATGAAAATGTATTGACGAGCGCTGTGTAAAAGGAAAAACTATTGAAAAAATGTGTAAGCTACAAATCGAAGCCATAATAATCGCGTGCGCGGCTGTTAAAGCAAACAACAATAACAAAGTATACAATACATTTATACATTTTGCATATTTAAGAGCACAATTAACAGTTTGTTGCATAAAGTGCATACCGAAATTAAACACCAAATATTTTGCAATGCTGCTGCTTAATTATATAATACACAGTTACCCGCCATTTCCTCAGCTGCACGCACATTCGCATCGAGCAGGCGACGGCCTTTTAATTACATTTTAATATTTGTTCCAAAAAATTGCAATAACGCCATAATGTCACACACACATGCTTACGTACTTACATGCATGCGCATACAGTATAAGCCAGCACACAATTTGGCCTAATTGGTTGCCACAAAATGGTAGAAGCCATGCGGCAGTTGCACGCTCCGCTGCCTGCTGCCGGCGACACATTTGACAGCCAACAAAAAATTTATATTTTATATGTCATAGACATTCTGGTAAATACGCATATAATTTTAAAATAGCATAATAAAATGCCTTGAACCCACACACACACACACACACACACTTGGACACTCACATCATTTACATGTGCTAAACATTTCAGTTGCAGGATCAGGCTTTTGCCCCTGTTGCCACCAACAGTTGCATTAATTAGCAGCCCGCTGCTGGGCGGGATACAGAAGGAGGAGGGGTGTGTGTGTGGGTGGTTGTGTGGCTCGCTGTTGCGTGTTGAAACTATTTCATATGCAAATGTAAATTTAATGAGTTGTTGAATCTGCTGTCCCAGTGCATGGGCGTTAATTTTGTGTGTGTGTGTTTGTGTGTGTGTCGGTGTGTGTCTTCGCATATTTAATGGCAAATATTTTGTTAATTTTTAATTTTAATTGCAGTCGCTTGTTTGTAATTTTTGCATAATTTCGGATGCATGGGCGTGGCACCACCCATAATCAGCAATTAAATTATGGTATTTATTGTACAATCAGACTATCTGGTTAATGTGGCATGGCAAAATGCATATATGTGTCAGTTGATTTTAATGTAGCGAACGGCATTAAAATTCACATTTTATTGTGCAGAAATAAATAAATGTAATTATTTATGCCATAAATGTGTATTAAATCAAATAAACTACGGCAAGTTGAGTTGAGTTGAGTTGAGTTCACGTTGATTAATTCTATGCCAAAGTGAATGGCAAATGCAATTGTCCTTATGGAAAAACCCCAGCCCTGTTTTCTTTTTTTGGTTTTTTTTTTTTTTGTCAGTGCCATCTATCTGATGGAATTCAATTAAGTGGGCATCTTTCGCAGAACAAAAGCCACATACACAAACACACACTTGCACACACAAATAGTGGCCAGTTGTCCGAAAAGCTCTTAAATGTAACATTCAGTTCGTTGCAGTTTGTTGACTTTTGATACCCTGCACCAACACAGGGCGAATAAGAGGGTAGCGTATTACAGACTTTCCAAATATCTTATATAAATGTATGTATCTCTAAAATCAAAGCGACTGGAATTATTTATTTCGTATTACACGATTTCAGATAATCGGGTATTCATTCTCAGCGATTATAGAAGCTTCATTGACAATTTTATTATGTCAATTCATAATAACGTTTTAAAAGGATAAACATTACTTCCAGTTACATATTTAAAATATATAAATAGATTTACTGACCACAAACGTAAAGGGAACTGAGATTTATATTAATTATATCCTATATAACAACATTTGTATATTCATTTTAAATACAGTACAGCACAGAGTATCTGTTATTCGTTCTCTGCAAGCTGATACACTCTTTTTGTTGCTGGCCTTGTTCAAATTTAATTAAATTCTTCAGCTCTTTGAGCCGCAGGATCGCACTTGACGCATAATTTGTCTAGCACTTGAGTGTATTTTTTTTTGTCTTTTTTATTTTTTGTGTTGCAGCAATGTTATTTGCGGGTTGCTGTTGGGGCACAAACGCACACAGAGGCGCAAAAAAGTGTTGCATGCCGCAGGCGGTATGCGTGTATTTGATTTTTTGTGGGGTTGTGTGTGTCTGTGTGTGTATGTATGTGTGGACCACGCCAAAGAATATAAATTGTTGGGCAAGTTTATCTCCCTGTTGCAGCAAAGGGAAAGAATAATTTTTGTTTGCAACACCCACACACACAAATGCACACACAAACATATACAAAAAGGTTGGTCAGAGTAGTTTTTGTTTTGTATGCCACGCGGTTGCATATGACAAAAATATGATATACTCAAATATATACATGTGTCTGTATAAGCAGATATACGTGTGTTTCTTAGTGTGTGCGCGCGCGTGACAGTGAGTGATAAAAGTTATGAGCTCTCTGGAGTATTCATTGCATAATTTACAGCTGATATTCACACTTCGCATATCCAATCCATGCTGAATTAAAGTCTGGCATGCCGTTGCTTTGGAACAGTTAAAGGGATTCAAATTCACTTTAGCTTCTCTCTTGTAAAAAAAAACCATTCGTTAATTTGTATTTTTTTTGTCCACTTTCTGCTTATTATATAATTTTCATTTAACAGAATTTTAAGTTTTTATTTGTACAGGAACAGCGCATGTATACATTTGTTATAACCACATTTTATTTTCTTTACCAATTTTGCGTGTTTATTTATTTAGGTTTAATAAATAATATAGTTTATTTTTTGTAACTTAACCAACAAACCACAGAAACACGAGCATAGTATGTAAATAAAACATAATCATTTCAGTTTCTACCTGAGCATTCATTAATTATAATATTATTATATTTATTTTGGCTCACCTTTTTTTGTTTTTGCTTTTGCAGTGGAAAATTACCCTTTATTTCGTTTTGTTTGGCGTCTAAAGAAGTTTGTTGTACATTTTTAATGTATTTTTAAGTAATTTACTGCAAAGAGAATGAGAAAAAAAAACAACATGAAAAATATGCAAAAATAACTCGGAGTCGCAGTAAAATGTTGGCGAAAGAGTATCTATGTAAAATAAAAGAGAATCTCTAGAGAATATGTAGATGAACGACTTCTTATTACCATTTCAAATGAGCGACAGGCAAAAGAAAAATTTTGTTCACAGCAATTTTTTAACTTTGCCACTTCAGAGCTAGGAGTGGCTGTGTGTGAGTGTGTGTGTGTGTGTGTTGGTTTTATTATAACACTAATTATGTCATACATATGCAAAAGTGGCAAATAAGGCGTCGTCCTGGCCCCTGCTCAAGTATGTGTACATGACACGCTCGTGTAAGCCACTTAAATTTTAACGCATACCTAATGTCTATTCATAGGAGTCTGTGTGTGTGTGTGCGTTTAATTTAATTAAGCTCACTGCTACTTAGCATTGCAGGGTGGTGCATCTGTAAAAAGCATTTGCAAGTCAAGTGCGTGTGCAACAGAAGGCTGCAACATGACCCAAGTAGGGACAAAAAAGCTGAGTAGTAATGAGTTGAGGTTGACTCCTGGCATGAAACATGGCAAAAACAGCAATAAAAAGGAAATCTACATGTAAAACATATACACATATATTTAGTTGAAAATTCAAGCTAAGCTAAGAACAATATTCTACACATTACCCAGGCTCTGCAGCTGCTCTTATTTATATACATAAAAATATACCATTTGAAGAAAAATGTTTCTCTTCTATTCATTTTATTTTTAATATGTTTTTCAATTGAATTTGTGTGGGTTTTCAAATTTTGCCAGCCCAATCTGAATTTACATTTGTAAATTCTGTTCCCAAGAAAAAAATTGTAAAATAATAAATACCGAACATCTAATTCTATGCAAGAAATCTCTCAAATAAATAATAAATTTATCATCTAGCTTCAGATGCAAAAAGGGGGTCAAGGCTTAGTACATTTTTCGGTTGAGTCTTGTTTGCAAATACAATTTCGGCTGCTGCATCAATTTGAATATATATTTTTAGGGCTAGTCATAAATATGAAATCAGCAAAGTTTTTGTTTATTTTGTTATGTACATATAAATTGGAATGGTCAGCATATATTGCATGCTTGCGCCCCTTGCCGATGTTATTTTCTTTATCAAGTAATGCAACTGTTTTTGTGCAGGAAAAATGTCTAATTGCAGGTCAGATGCAAATTTTGAAACTCAGAATTGTTTACGAATTCTAATTGGTTTTATTTTCTTTAAACTGTGCGCATATAGAAGGGAGCAAAAAATAGAAATAAATTAATAACTGATTGTTTAGTAACTTGGACAATTTATTTTGCCTTATGTACGCATCATTGCAACAAAGACTTATTTGTAAACTATAAATACATTTTTATTTCTTTCATACAAATTAAGTATAATGAAATATTTTCGATTTTGATTTAAATTATTTAAAAAAATCACAAGGCACCGTTTCCAAATATATATTTTATACACATTGTGTATACATTCTATGCAGAATATATTCAAAGGAGCCAGATGCTAATAACGAGCACGAAGTAGATAAATATTAAGATTTATCGTTACGCACACATCATCTATATTAACGGTATATCCTATCTTGTAGCACATAAATATAACGTACCAGCTCGTTTATCCATAGACCATCTCGTTTCGATGTCGTTGCCTTTAGCTATTCGTAAAGTCTTGCCTAAGGTTGATAAGTTACTTTAAACCAGACGCATTTGCAAACAATGTTGTGGCATTCATGTTAGCATTTAAGTATTTGCCACATCGTGTTGCATGTTTGTTCAAAATTAGATAGTTATAATGAAAAAAATGCGTTTTGCATAAGCTGTCTGCTGGCCATAGTACAAATGCCAGTATTCAAAGGCTTATTTATAGCAATTAATTAAGCCTGACTTATATATAACAGTTCACGTTCGGGCGACTGACAATAAGACATGTTATTATATATCACACACACCTACATATGTGTATGTATAGATACATATTTGTGTGCGAGTGTGTGTACACTTGTTTGGTCTGTAAGCCGCAGTCCGTTGCTACAGCTGCCTTTGTTGCCACACCATGTTGCAGTTGCAGCTCAAATTCACCGAAGCATGCAGCAATACCGCCCATTTCGCCCCCTCCCCAATCGCCTGGCTGTCTGCATGTCTTTCGCTCTGTCTGTTCTGTCAGCTCCCTTCGCATGCATTTTCATATTGAAAATCACTCAAGTGGCAGACCGACAACAACAGCCGCGTGCTTTGTGTGGCAATTTTGGTTCTTTAGCGCGAAACAAAAAAATAATAACAAAAGAAGGAGAATCAAGAGCAGAAAAACAAAAGCAGCTTCATGTTAATTTTAATATACGACGCATCGTGGTGCCGCATAATGAGTGCTGTTTTAGCTGCATGCATCCATGGATGTTAATAAAAGTCGGCACACATTATTTCTAAAGCACAACTGATGCCCTGCCGCAGGGCCTTACAGCGAATACAAATCGCTAAGGCTGTAAGGTATGTAAACCACATAAGCTTCATGTAAAGAGTATATCTATTGCGTTGCAATCTATGCGTGTTTTATTTTTAGGTATTTTTTTGTTTAATAATAAAATGTGCAAATGTGTTGCTGGGCGCAGTTAACAGATGTGCAGACTGCCTGCACTATACTCTCCAAACAACTCTATACACCACACACACACGCACACCACACACTCACAAACATTAAATTCCTAACCATTTTTGTGCATGTGTGTGTGTGTGTGTGTGTGTGTGTGTGTGTGTGTGTGTGTGTGTGTGTGTGTGTGTGTGTGTGTGTGTGAATGAATGTCTTCTATACCCGCACGAGCCCAGCATTTGTACATAATTTCATTGCAGCCGTAGATATTTTTTTGTCTCCCTATTTATGCACAAAACAAGCGCGCACCCCACAGCCCCACGCGTCGGTCCTACCCCCAACCGTCGCTTTCAGGCACTTTGCTTTGTTTTTAGTTTAGTTGCTAATTTATTTGCTTCTATGCATTTGGGTTTCTGTCTGCATTCATGCAGCTTGTGGACTGCTTTTGTGCGCCTTTTGTGTGGCATTTTAGCATTGCCGGCTTCCCCATTTTTCGTCGAGTGGGGGGTATATGTTGGGAGGGAGGGGGGGTTACAATGTTTAAGCGCATCTGCCGGATGCATGCAACCAGCCCTTCCACACAAACACACACACACACTCATAGAACCCATATTAGCTTCTTTCTCTAGCTTTTTATGCGCTACTTCTATTTACTTCTGCTTGAATATTTATAAACTGCAAAAAAAAAATTCTTGTAATTACATACGTGCTGTATTTTTCTATAGCTGCAACTGTATCTGTATATACATGTGTATCTGTAGTTGTATTTGTATCTGTGCATCTGTTTTGGGGGCAAATGTATCTGATGGTGTGCGTGTTAGCTGCATGTGCATTATTTGCGCTTGGTTGCCTCTTGGCTTATGCATTGCTAACAATGCTAATGAAAGAATAAGTACATAACACAATTGGCTTTGTTAAGGCTTTGGGCCACACTTTGTTTACCAACTTTAAGCGTTGCTTTCTATTGCAGTGGGTGTTCTACTGCAGTCGTTGTTTTTGTTGTTCTTGTTGCGCTTGTTACTATTGGGGCTTCGATTTCCCATTATGAAAACTAGTTTTCCTCTTCTTCATTGCTCAGCAACGGTTTTGCATTTCTTTTCTAATCAACTTGGCAACCGCAGCGGGCGCATTGAACCAGGAAAGCAGCTTTATGCATTCTTTTGCCCTTGTTGTTGTTGTTGTTGTTGTTAGCCACAGTTGTGCAGCGTGTTAATTACCTTTTGTGCGGCGTCGGGCCGCCACCGCAAAGTCAGCAAGTTAGTCGCACGCATAAGGAGCCCTCTCGAAGTGGCAAAGTTGTTGCCATCGCACAGGCATTTCTGCAGCTCGCATATAAATCATTTTTCATTAGCTCACGCATGAGCTGAGCTCAGTTCGCACGTAAAGAATTTCGCACTGAATTTTTGGGACAGCTCTGCTTAAGTTAAGGCCAAAATTCTTTTTCGGCCATTTGTTTATGTTTGTTCCCCTTATGCTTTGCATGTTCAACTTTAATTGAAATATATGGCTGGCCTCAAAAAGCAAGAAAAATATGTAAAAAAGCCAAAAATGCCCTGGATATAAGCACGCAAAAGCAAGAATCGCGTTTTAACAATGCATGCACCTATATATCAAGTAGCTGGCATTTTTACAGGTACATAAACTGTTCGCTTGACCTTTGCTTATGTACTTAAAAAATTCAGGTAAAGTTCTGCGCATCGAACCTTGAAAGATTGTACTTTTTTTCTTAACCTTTTTCCGAAATAAGTAAACGCTGGACACAAAATACAAGAATGGCACAAAAAAATAAATACTTTTTTGTTGACTCTCTTTTCCGCTTCTTCTCCGCATTTTGCGCTGCTCTTTGTAATCAAGAAAGTTTGCGCATAAATACAGGCCTGTCCGATTCAATGGGACGCAAAAAGAGGGTAAATATGGCAGCAAAAGTTAGCCAACAAGAAAATACTCTTGATTTTCCGTGAAATGTATCTTAAGAAATCTATTTACGATATTTGCTGTTATACAAATAAGCATTAGGTATTCTATAGTTAACCGAAATGTTTAATGTGAGTATACAAGGTTTAAAAAGAACAAAAATAAATATTTATATATTTACAAATTCTTCTTTATGTAAATCAATTTTATATTGTGAAGTAAGTTTCATTATCACTATCATTACAAATTTATAAATATTAATATACTCTTCGTTGAAATCTAACTTAGATAGGATATATATTTAGGGTGAAAACTAAATTTAAATATTTTTTTTTGTAGGAAAAATTTCGTTTCTCTTAAAACATTTTATTTGTTTAGAACTCTGCTGCCC